CGCGGAGGGCTCTACTGCTTCAAAGGTGCATGCTCAAGCAAGGTTCACAAAGCAAAGGTTGAAGCTTCATACGAGTTATGGCACAAGAGAATGGGTCATCCCTCTAAGAAAGTAATTAAACTTCTTCCTGATTTGAACATTAGATGTGATAGTGGAAATAGGATATGTGGTGTTTGTTCAAAAGCCAAACAGACAAGAGGTACATTTGATTCTAGTGAAAACAATGCTAAAGGGACTTTCGATTTGATTCATTGTGATTTATGGGGTCCGTACTCGGTACGGGCGTCTTGTGGTGCAACGTATTTTTTGACCGTTGTTGATGACTTCTCAAGAGCCGTTTGGATATTCTTACTTAATGAAAAAAGTGAAATAGGCAAAACACTGCGGAACTTCTTCACTATGGTTAAACGCTAATATGAAAAATTGGTGAAGATAGTTAGAAGCGACAATGGTACCGAAATTACTTGCTTGAAGGAATATTTCTCTGAGCAATGTATAATACCTCAGACCTCATGTGTTGAAACACCGTAGCAGAATGGACGTGTCGAGAGAAAGCATAGACATATACTAAATGTTGCCAAAGCTCTTAGATTTCAGGCCAATCTCCTTATTGAGTTTTGGGGAGAATGTGTTATAACAGCTGGTTATCTGATCAACAGGACCCCCTCCACTCTACTTTTGGGTAAATGACCGTATGAGATGTTGTATGGGCAGAAACCAAGCTACAAACATATATGCACATTTGGGTGTTTGTATTATGCAAGAAGCCTAAATCGGACCAGGGACAAGTTTGCCAATAGAGCCAGACGTTGTGTCTTTGTGGGATACCCCTTTGGTAAGAAGGGATGGAGAGTTTATGACTTAGAAAATATTGAATACTTTGTTTCTAGGGATGTGGTGTTTTCAGAAACTGAGTTTTCTTATGCTATTGAAGAAAAACAAGTCGAACGCAAACCTGATGATGGTAATCTTGCTTATAACCAGGAGGAGACTGAAGAATATGGCGAAGAGGATAGTGAGAGAGGAAGGGGTAATGGTACCCGTGAGATCATAAGAGAGACAAAACAAGGCGACAGGTGTGAAAATAATGAAGGGGAGCATGAAGTAAGGGGGGGGGGTTCTATGGAAGAAAGGAATGCAGGGAATGAGCAACTTGGACGAGGCCTTAGAGTGAAGCATCCTTCCACCCGTCTCAAGGATTACGTCATACACACCACATGGTGTTCCGACCACAACCTGAGCCCTTCTGCCAGTTCATCTTGCCAATCTCACTCCTCAGGTACTCCCTATCCTATAACACATTATGTGAATTGTGATAGATTCTCTTTGCGACACTGCTCTTTCTAAGCAGCTATCACAACTAATCATGAGCCCAGAGCTATTCAGAGGCTGTCAAGGACTCTCGTTGGAGAGAGGCAATGAGAAAGGAATTTGAAGCCTTAGAAAACAACAGAACCTGGATAGTGATGGACTTGCTGCGAGGGAAAAAGGCTCTCGGAAGTAAATGGGTGTACAAGATAAAGTACCACTCAGATGGCACAATAGAGCGGTACAAGGCGGTTACAGTCCGTACATTCGGAAACAAACAGGTTGAAGGGATAGACTACAATGAAACATTTGCGCCTGTGGCAATGATGGTTACAGTCCGTACATTCCTTGCAGTGGCTGTGGTTAAAAACTGGGAACTGCATTAGATGAATGTGCAGAACGCGTTTCTTCACGGAGATCTACAAGAAGAAGTGTATATGAAGATGCCCCCTGGATTTGCTTCGAGACTACCTGGGAAGGTGTGCAAGCTGCACAAGTCGCTTTATGGTTTGAAGCAGGCCCCTCGTTGCTGGTTTGCTAAACTAACAACAGCCTTGAAACAGTATGGCTTTACCCAGTCACAATCTGATTACTCCTTGTTTACACTTCGACGGAAGCAGGAACAGTTGAATATCTTGGTGTACGTGTACGATCTTGTCATCTCTGGAAATAATGGCAATGCCATATGGAGATTCAAGAAGTATTTGAGCCAATGCTTCCACATGAAAGACTTGGGAGCTTTGAAGTATTTTTTAGGAGTGGAGGTCGCCAGAAGCTAGAAAGGTATAGTCCTTTGTCAGCGGAAGTATGCTTTGGATATCATATTAGAAACTAGTTTGCTAGGATCTAAGCCAGTTGGACTTCCCCTGGAACAAAATCATAAACTAGCTCTGGCAGATGGTCCTTTGATGATGAAACCAGAGAGTTACAGGAGGCTTGTGGGTCGTTTAATTTACTTAACCATTACCCGTCCTGAATTGTCCTACTGTGACATGTGCTTGCTCAATTTATGCAGAACCCCCGTGAAGAACACTGGGAGGCGGCTTTACGTGTAGTGCGATTTTTGAAAGGTAACCCGGGACAGGGAATTTTCCTTCCGGCTGACAGTGATTTTCGATTGTATGCTTACTGTGATTCTGACTGGGCCGGGTCTCCACTGACACGACGCTCTCTCACTGAATACTTTGTATTATTGGGACAAGCACCTATCTCGTGGAAGACAAAGAAGCAGCTTACAGTATCCAGATCATCGGCTGAGGCGGAATACAGGTTTATGGCAACAGCTGCATGTGAATTGAAATGGTTAAAAGGGTTGTTGCATTCGTTATGAGTTGGTCATCCTGATCCTATGCGATTACACTGTGATAATCAAGCAGCCTTGCATATCGCTGCGAATCCGGCATTTCATGAGAGGAGTAAACACATTGAAGTAGACTGCCACTTTGTCTGCAATGAAATTCAGAATGGGAATATACGGCCTTCCTACGTCAGGACTTCTGAGCAACTTGCTGATATGTTTACGAAGGCCCTGGGCAGGCAACCATTCGAGCATCTTCTTGCCAAGTTGGGCATTTCCCGTTTACATGCTCCAACTTGAGGGGGGGTATTAAGCTTCTTAGCGTAGCCTTATCTCTAGCTGTATGAGTCCTATCCGGTGTATGTATCTTAGTTGTTCTTGCTTTGGTGTTCATTGTTCATTTAGGAGTTTGTATCCTAATCGCAAGAGGGAGCTAACTCTACCTCTGTATATATATATATATATCTTGTAATGATCGGCTGATAGAAAATATAGAAAGAAAACTTTTCCCTTCAAACTCGAGTTTCTCATAAAGTCTCATAAATCCCAACGTACGAACATGTCTCATAAAACGCTCTTAATTTTCTTTATTAAAATTTTTCATTACTATTCTCTAATAAAAGTATTCTTAAATTTCTCTCATTTTCCTTCACTCTAATACTCTATGTTTGTAACTTCTCCCCTCCCCATTAAACTCCTCTATTTCCTCTTAAATATATTTGAACCCCTTTGATGCTCTCTAATAAAACATGATAGAATTTAGATGGACTAAATGGGGTTACGTGCCAACCTAAAGATTAACCCTAAACATGAACCTTAACTTTGAACAAAAATTATGCCAAAATTCAAATTTACTAATCCAAACCTAATCAAATTTTTAATCCAACTTTGACCCATGCATCTACATGGTTTTGCTTGCTGGAAGGAAAAGAGAGGTGAATTATTTATTAAACCAAACATATTATTTTTAGGGAAAATTCCCGATTAGTACCATGTATTTTGGGCCTGATGTCATTTTGGTCCCCAAACATTAAAATGTGACAATTTAGTACTCGAACTTTCAAAGCATATCAATCCCAATACCTATCATTAATCAACCATTAAGTGGCATTTGAAAAGACACAAATGCCCTTTGAGTGTCATCCAATTTTTTATTAAAAATGAACAATTCCAAATCCTTTTCTCTATATTCAAGAAAGTTGGGGCCATCTCTTAGTGGGAATTCTCGCGACCCCAACATTGTTGAATAGAAGAGGCAAGGATTTGGGACTATTTATTTTTTGTCAATATTTGGATGATTGATAAAGAATATTAGATAATACTTAAAGGGCATTTATGTCTTTTCAAATATCACTTAACGGTTGGTCAAATGGCTGATTAATGATAGGTATTAAGTTAACACATACATTTTAAAAGTTTGGATACTGAATTATCGCATTTTAAAGTTCAGGGACCAAGTATGTGTTTGGTTCCGTTTGTGTTTATTGGGTGGGCGTTTATCAGAAAAACATTTATTTGATAAACACCTACTTTAAAGGTTTTCTACTTTGTTGTTTAGTTAAGCCATTTCAAGAAACACCCTTTACACCTCAGCAACAATAAACGTTTTTTCATTTCATGTTGTTTGGTGGGGCGTTTAAAGAAATAGCCATATGAATGTTTCAGTGTGCCACTCTCATTGTAATGTATAGGATACATTAGTCAATCCAAAGGTCCAAATTACATATGCTTCAATTTGAAGACCGATTTTTAGATCCAACGGTTAATATGTGATATAATCCACATCCAACGGTGGATATTTTTCCTGATACTTCTTGGGATATTTGGTGAAGTAATGCCAAACCATGTTTTGGATGCTTAAGCCTCAAATTTTACATACTTGGACTTACTCTGGAGAAGTTGTTCTCATAACCAACAATAACTACGAGTGAAATAAAAATGTGATATATTTAGAGGCATCTGCACTTCTGATCCTCAAGAACAACCTCGAGACATTTTAAATCATAATTAGTTTGATAATAACAGCACTGATTTGAATAATTAGAAACGAAAAAGTGAGAAATGTTAAAAAAAAAAAAACAGAGAAATCTCAATTTGGACATTCCAACTCCGGTCTCAAGACTAGATGAAAGCATAAATGTAGTAGTCTTGTTCCCAACCAAATCCTGAAAACTCCAAAATAAGCCTTCAGCATCATCCCTAGATGAAAGCATAAATGTAGTAGTCTTGTTCCCAACCAAATCCTTTAACAAACATAAATTCATTTAGATACCCCAACCCCAAACAGTAATCAGAAAGAAACACACAATCCACTCTTGCGTAATGTCCAGCCAAGCTTCAATGCCAAGAATTTGGCAAAAACCAAATCCAACAGCTATTAATCAACACAATTAAATCAACCCAAAACCTTCTTTGGCTCCTTCAAAGCCCCAAAAAAATTTTTAAAAATCAAAACATACACACACAGAATAGCAACAACCCAAGACACGTACCAAGCCATAAATCTAAACCCCATGCACCATGAAATAATACCAAACCCAGTTGCCCAATTTCCTTCTCCCCTGTCAAAACACATAAAGAATGAGCAAGTACCATCTAAATTCCAAACCCCCAACCACGCAACCAATACAAACAATAGATTACATTAACCTCACTGGCTCACAAAACTAGCCCTACAAAGAATGAGGATATCCAGCATATCCAAGCAAACCAAACTTAAAAACATAACTCCTATTCTTACCAAAAACAAAATTAAGAGAAAGAAGGAAGCCACGGAATCCAATTCAGTAATCCAATTCCATCATTGCCTGTAATCAAAACCCAAGAAACCCACATTAAGAAATCTCAAGTGCAGATAAAAAAGATAAACAAAAAGTAAAACTCACCGCCATTTTTTCCTCAGAAGGCTTTGAATAAAACTCAGAAATAGCAGACAAAGAATTCTTCAATAGTATTCAAACTTCCTCCTCGACTACCCTCCTAATACCAGCCGGAAAATTCAAAAATACCCTGCTTCTTCACCAATTCCCACGAAGACCCATAGAAAAAGAGAGCCAAAACTAGTCACCCATTGACCCGCAAATATACTCTACATTCCCCCTGTATTAGTATTTAGTATTTACTCTCTCTCCCTCTCTCTCCGCTGTTCAGCGTTGACTGTAAAAACGTCTGCTAAATTCAACTTTTTTTATCATATTGATCTATGATATTACTGGTATGTTGAAGACTGATGAAAAATATTAAAAATAACATGACGAAAATAGATGCGGCAACACTCAGAGAACATACCGGCAGCGAGAAACACTCAGATGCGGCAACACTCTCTAAACACCTTAAAATGCGACAACACTCTCTAAAACCTTCAAAGAAAACAGATATATTGCTGAAAGTTGGGAAAAAAGACAAAACAAAGAGAAAATAGGGAGAAAATGGAGAAAGCGAAGACCTTCTCACAGCGGCAGATGCTCTTCCCTTCGGTGAAAAATCCCCTCTCCGGTCGTCGCTGGATTCGTAGATCCGGGTGTTCTCCTCTAGGCAACAGCTGCTCTTCTCTTTGGTGCTTTAGGTTATCGAGTGAGGAAGAAGGTCTACCTTTAGAATGGTAGATCCGGGTTGCACCGGATCACCATTACTAGACGACACGTCAGCGGCCACATCGGATCCACTTCTGCTCGGCGTTTCATGAAACGCCCAGCTGTTGGAGGATTCTCGCTTCCCCAAGGGCTATATGCACGAAAATCAATGCAAATGCATTTGCGTTTTTTAATAAACGAGTGCACCAAACAGTGTTTTTTGAGCAAAAAAAAAACGTTTATCCCACCAGATACTGATATGACGCTGATGTGAAGCCGTTTTTCCAATAAACGTAAACGATTCCAAACATACCCTAAAATAGCACTAAACCCAAATTAATTGGTACTAATCAAGAATTTTCCCTTATTTTTATTCAATTAAAATTACAAAGTGGATATAGTATTCCATTTTCTGGCAGAGGTGAAAAACCATAAAGTGCAAATTTTTTTTTGTTTAATTGGTTTTTTGGCGTAATTACGTAAAGTGATCCGTCCTCACAGCCCATGCAGCTCTGCGTCAAAGAGATCTCCGTATTTATATGTTCCTATTCAGGAGAAGATATTCTCAATATACGGCTGTAAAACCGTAAGGACGGTGTGAGAAAAGTGACGAGTTAATTCCGAACTAGTTCTGGCGCTCTCTCTCTCTCTCTTATCCTGGTAATCGTGCGTCAAGCGTCAACCATCAGGTCCATCACGCCCACTCCGGTTAAGTGTAGGGAAAGAAGCAAATAAAAAACTATAAATTCTCTTTATTGTAAAGACTAAAGAAATAAATCTTGAATAAAACTCGGAAAGGGAGTAAAATAAATGTCGCCAGATTCAGAAGTATCAAATACCCTATCATATCAAATCCCGACGGGGCATCCCAATTCCCAAATGGCCAAATGCATTTCATAGATTAATGGGTCCCACCTTCCTTTTCGTGATGATCACTGCCATCCAATGATTCCATCATGTCTAACGTCTCCTTCCGACGGTCCCACCCCTTTCTCGGATGCAAAAAACAGCTTGATTTACAGGACTTAGGTTGTGGGTGCCGAGTCACCGAGTTAATAATCTTGACTCGGCTCGACTTTCATATTTCATGGAGTTCTCCACTCTCCAGACTGACCCGACTAATCAAGTTGGTATTGGCCTGAAATCTGAACAACCGTGGAGCAACTGGGCTCGGGTTTCGGCAAGGTAATCATGGCCCATCCCACATGTATATAATGGCCTAATGGGGTTGGATATGGATCCATTTTGGCATCTTTCATTCATAATATTATATATATGATAAAAAAGAGTTGATGGGAAATGATATTGTAAGGGGAAATGACTCGTCCAAAGCACTGCTGTGTTCCATCTCATCAAACCCTCCCACCGGGGCTGTGTTTGGTTGAAGCACACTATCCTGTTATTATTATCCCTTCCCCCTCGGAAGATGTGGTCGGCCGAACGAGGGATCAAGTATGCCACAAGTCTTCTCATCTTCTTAGAGGTTTTTTCATTAATTACTAAGGAGTTAGGACTTATTAAGAGGGATTAGGGTTTGATATCTCTGTAGACGTCCCATTCTTACAGGTTAGAGTAGTAGTACTATTAGACAGTAGACTCCTAGCTAGAGTTTTTCATGAAAATTGCCAGATACCTAGTGTAGGACATTTCTTTATTAAGTTGTAATTTCAACACATATCGACCGAATGAAAAAGTAAATTAATACGTATTATTATTACGATATTTTTCACCAAATTATAGTTATATAAAAGTTGATTCGGTGGAGACTCACATGTCATGATTGCATGAATATAATTTGTGGGAGAACGAATAATGGAATCACGGATGGAGGAGGCAAATGTGCATGATGAGAGACAAGACGGTTGGCTTAGGCTTGATCGCGGCCCCACAACGCCCCCTGTTTTGTTTTAAAATGACAAAGGTGGGACCTGTCTAAGACTCCATCTGTCTAGTCTCTAGAAAGGGCATAACTATTTCGGAACGGGATCTATTACTTACACTTGGGCGCCTTACATGCACATCCACCGTGCATTTAGAACCTCTCCAATGAATAATAATTTATAAATACAGGAGATGTTTCTGTCCTATGCATGGTAAAATGTGCGTGTGAGGCGGCCTTTGTGAGTAACAGATCCGGTCTCAGCTGTTTCTGTCCTGTTGGGCAGAATTGAAGGAGAATCGAATCGATAGCACGTGCCAAACACGCCGTAGTGCTTGCCCTCGTGCTAATGTTTTACCTGCACGTTCATACATGTTTGTTTGTCCATTAACATTCACCTATCGCTAGAGTTGACTTTTACATCACAGAATTTTATTATTATTATTTTGTTTTTTTAGATTTATTGGTTGATCCCATTTGGCCCTTCCTACTCTCATATTTATCATGGTATTGCATGGGTGTTATATTTATAATTGATTTAATAATTAAAAATTAGAAAAATAAATAAATTAAGTGGAAAGAAAATTATATATATATATATATATATATATATATTATATAATATAATTAGACATTATTAGGTGCCACATAAAACAATAAGAAACATTCAAAATAACTTATATAACTTGAGGTAAAGAGCAATTCAAACTATATGCGCTTACTCAGCCCAAACAAACATGAACATGGTTTGGTAAGGTCAAAACACACAACAAATTCATGCAATGTCTATGTGACAGATACCAAACATGCACCTTCTAAAATGTTAGCTTTAATGCTAATTTTTTAGTAACCTAAAGCTCTTATTTCAGTATATATACATATCAGAAGCCTCACACGCTTTTGGGAAAAAACTGTGTCCGGTTGTGGTACATTTTGTTCATTTTCCAACCACCAACATGTGGCCCCACTCCTTTGTGCAAATGAGAGAGAGAGACATACGTAAAAGCATTTAAAGTACGGTTTTGAATGAACGGCACTGAAACAAGTTGGAGTTTCCAATGATTCTAAGTGCAACCACATGCAATTATAACAATAACCATTCATAATTAGCTTCTTTATGCATGTATTGATATGGGTTGCCCCGTAACTTAAAGGCGGTGTTTGGTTTGAAGGAAAAGATAGGGAAAGGCGAAAAAACTTTTACAAACCTTATATAAATTTTCTTGCCTTTACCTTCATTTCCCCATCTTTTCTTTTGGATCAAATATAGCCAAATATTTCGAGTTTCGACCCACTATTCATATCAAGTTCTTGTAATCCTGTTCTTATATTATTTTATTGTTTTTCCCTTTTTTTTAAGGCATAAGCGTTAGCTAGAGGAGACCTCGAATTTATTTATTCTCTTATGCCTGTACTTTTCATATTAATGTTTTACAACAAACAAATACATATGCCCGTCTAGCTCAGTCGGTAGAGCGCAAGGCTCTTAACCTTGTGGTCGTGGGTTCGAGCCCCACGGTGGGCGTAAAATTAACTGATAATTGCTTTTTGATTATTTATCTTTTATATATTTTCAAAAAAAAAAAAAACTGATAGAGTGATAGTTGCTTTTATATTCTTTGTCCTTAATATATTTTCAAAATATATCTTAAACTTTTCAAATTCATGTTGGTGGTGGATATATCGGGTTCTCTCTTCCTCTATTCCATTGTCCATTTTAAACACGCAAACAAAGGCATTCTTCTGAAAAATGAACAAAAAATAGAAAGAAACAAAAGACAGGCTTATTATTCTTTTGCAGTACAGTTGAAACAAAAAGAACGCTTTATGTGTAATTTTAGTTTCAACCACTTTTTCTACAAAAAAGTTGAGAATACCTTTCCATGCATTTATTTCACTGATTATAAGATAGATGGGAAGAATTTAATAATATATAAATTTAAATAAAAATGTATACTACAGTAAAAAATACCAATAGCCTTAATAATATTTCTGTAATTTATTGAGGACAACATTTATCCCTCCATATTTAAATTTATTGATAACAAAAGAGGGATAATAGGGTAATTGATTATTAATATTAAATGACTTGAAAAGAGGTAATTTTAAGATATTCAATTCCCTCTCATTAAATCCAACATTTAAGGTATTAACTTGCATTCACCTTCATTGAATCATATATTTTGGGCAGTTTTATTTCTTCTCATCATTAAATTCTATTAATTTAATCCACATATAATAAATTAATAATTTCAATAACACAAAAACTTATACACCTTGAAGAAAGTATTTTCATCTAGGTGATGGTAAGAAATTAAATCATTTTAGGTCAAATGGAGCAATCCATATTGTCACAACTAAATAATAAAATTCAAAAATATATAAAATACAAAAAAAATTAAAAATTAAAAATTAAAAAAAATGAGAACATTTTTAACATCATATATCTGGCATATTAAACAAGAATAAGTATGATAAATATGTAATGATTTTATTAATGATGGAAATGGAATGTAAAATTTAAAACTAATTGAAAATAAAACTATTTTCCTATTTTCACTCATTAAATCACATATCTAAGGTATATTCTCTCATTAAATCCTATATTTAAGATATACTTTCTTTATCATTAAATTCTATTAATTAAATCCACAACATTCACTTTAATAGTATAAAAATAAATATTTAAAAATAAAACAATTTTCTTCCCTCCCGGTGGTGGGTAAGCAATTCTACCATATGGGGTCAAATGGGTTTATAAATAATGTCATAATTAAATAATAAAATAAATTAAATTAAATTAAATATATAATACAAATAAAAATAATAATTGAGAATATCTCTAATATTGTATATTCATTATACTAAACAAAAATAAGTATGAAATGTAAAAAGTAATCTTATTAATATTGAAAATGGAATGCCAAATTTAAAATCAACCTAGATGTGAAATGATGCCATAGCCAAATAATAAAAATTTTAAAAATAAAAAATACAATGAATCACAAAAATAAAAAAATAGAGAAACTTTTGGGCACATATCTAATGTTATATATTTATATGAAGTAAAATATTGGGTATATATCTAATTTTATACATTCATTATATTCGAGAAAAATAAGTATTATACATAAGAAATAATTTTATCAATGATGGAAATATAATACAAAATTTAATGTCATCAACATAGAAATCAAACTATTTTTCTTTTTTGGTT